CCAGAAAGGGTTGGCAAAAGGGGTTGAATTCCGAGCCCCCCCCAAGACCTGCGAACGTCTCTGAGGTCACTGGATCTTCCCAAACCTTCACTTTCTCTTCGGGACAGCTAGGATCGAAAACGACCCGTCCAATTCCTCCGGAATAGGGGAATTTCAGGAATGGCCTGAAACTCCGTCTTCTCACTGCTAAGCCCCGCCTTCTTCCCTTCAAACTCCTGAAACTTTTGAGTGATACAAAGTTTTGACCATAACATTTCTAATTTGATTATAAATGTTTATTAAGATAAACACTCTGGCTATTTTCAGATGCCTTGTATTGGAAGATACCCAGCATCTTTTCCTGGCTTCAGAGGGAAGGAAATCTATCAGAGGAAGAAATGGCACGAACATTTAATTGTGGCATTGGTGCAGTCCTCATTGTACAGAAGGAACTGGCTGGGAAAGTCCTAAGTGACATTCGGAGACATGAAGAGGCATGGTTGATTGGAAAAGTTGTGCATCATCAAGCAGGTCATTATGTTCAACCTCAATTTTCTGAGGATTACATGTATCAATATAAAAGTCCTGATTTATATTATACACACACACACTCACTCAGTCACTCACTTACTTACTCACTATTTGAACCTACTGTAGGACTTAGGACCCTTTCCAGATGTTTAAAATAAACCTACCCTTTTTCACATATCTTGGATCTTCCTTGTAATTTAATAGGAAATTGGTTATTTTACTGAACTCTTTTGCCGTAATTTGAATTTTCAGTTAATGTTTAATTTTTTAATAAAAAAGGTTCTGCTCATGTTGAAGTCAAAAACTTGCTCCAAGCCTTACAAGCAAATAGATTACAGTCCTCGCACAGCAAACAAATAAAAATGAAGCCACGCAAAACAAGAATTGGCATCCTCATCTCTGGAACAGGTAAGTTCCTGTGATTCTCTTTGCAAGAAATGCAGAGAAATTTTAAGCATATTTCTTTCATTGACTATAGTTTTCTGACGGGCATGCTTAAAATAGATTGGTCAATATTGACAAGAAAAGTATCTTCTAATTCTGCGTTGATTTGATCATCATCATAATTCATCATGAAAATAGAGCAAGTATTTGAGTCAGTGATTCTTTCTCTGTTTAATAATCTGTGTCTCTCCTTTAATAAAATACATACTGATAATTTACTTATGAAACTATAATTTCTATATGCAATTTTGTGAGGGAGGTTATTAAAGAACTGGAAAGTAAATATATTTTAGATTTGTTCCTGTTTTTAACTTAGGGGTTGAGTTCCATTTGATTAATTGGTTGATTGGTTAATTGAATTTTTAAAAAACTATGCACCTTGATACATGAATTATATAAGTTCAAAGTTTAGAAAAAGACATACATTTAGAAGGTGTTTTCTCCAATTCCTGTAACTGTTTTTTGGAGTTGTATTGACATTGGAAAATATATGAACAGTATAATAGAAAGTTTATTAGTAAGTGTAAATGATAATATTTTATTTTAAATTTCATTTTATTAAAATAACATTTATATTTTATTAAATTATTTTTTTAAAAAATGAGTATAAATGAAATTAGAATATCTATTAAATGCCTTATTTTATTAAAGTAAAATATATTGAAATGAGAATGCATTTTTAGTTGTGGCTAATGTTCATACTTTAACATTATTGTTGTTTTTGAATGGATTCTTTTTTTAACAAAAGAAGCAGCTTTACCTTTTGTGAGGACTCAGATTGCCACTTGGCTAGAATACTTAATTACATTGTTAATTATATTGTCAATAGTGGAAACTATGCAGAAAGATAGTCTAATGAGAGAAATTCAATGTAGTTTATTCTTAGGTAAATTAAGATTTTGGCTTAAGTTTGTTTTATTTGTCTATTTGTCAGGTACTAATATGGAAGCTCTGATTGCCAGTGCAAAGAAGCCAAACAGCTCTGCAGAAATAGTAGTTGTTATTTCTAATAAGGCTGATGCAGGAGGACTTAAAAAAGCAGAAAGAGATGGAATTCCCACAAAAGTAAGTACTTTTTCATTAGCAGTTTATCATATTTAGTGGTTGCTGTCTGAATAATAATGGTAAACAATAGTGGGCCAGTCCTTATAGAAAATGAATTAAAATTAGGTTGATAATGTGTCAGCTGTTTTTTGCACAGAAGAATGGAAACACTGATCAGAATGGAAACACTGATGGAAAACACAGTTATACAATACAATAATACAATAGCAGAGTTGGAAGGGACCTTGGAGGTCTNATCCTGTATCCATCCAATAGTAGTGCAATCTTATATCTCTTGCCATTTGTAGTATTTGTGTTCTAATTGCTTTCTTGGTAGATCTTGTATGTAAACAACTGCCACTATATAGAATCCAAGGCTTCTCTGTGCGCTGCTTGGAGAGTCCAAGCATGGGTTAAACACAGTCTATCTGCCCTAGATTTTTCTTTGACCACGCCTCCCTTTGTCTCATTGAGACCAGTTTAAAAACTCAATCCACCCGTCAGGACTAAATTTGGGGAGCTCCTCAGTTCTGCGCAGATAGACTGGGAATATGTATTTCATAGATAAGTAAGCTTTACAATCAATAGGAGAGAAAACATTGAAGCAAGAACATTTTGAACTCTAGAGGCTGAACTATTAACAGGGCAATTAAGAACAGTGCTAGATAAATTCACAATACAGGAAGTCCTTAACTTACAACCATTTATTTATTGACCATTTGAAGTTACAATGGCACCGAAAAAGTGATTTATAACCAGTTTTCACATTTATGGCCGTTGCAGCCTCCCCGCAGTCATATGATCAAAAATTGTATGGTTAGCAACTGACTCATATGTATGATGATTGCAGTGTCCCGGGGTGTGATCACCTTTTGTGACCTTCTGACAAGCAAAGTCAATGGGGAAGTCAGATTCACTTAACAACCATGTTACTAACTTAACAACTGCAGCTATTTACTTAACAACTGTAGCAAGAAAGGTCTAAAAATGGAGTAAAGCTCACTTAACAACTGTCTTGCTGAACAACAACAAAAATTGGGCTGAATATTTACTATTAGAATAGATTACTTTTCTTTGCATTCCTCATTCCCATACCCAGTTCAGATCTGCTTTTGAAGGTGAGAAATCATAACAGAATAATAGAGTTGGAAAGGATCTTGGAGGTCTTCTAATCCAACCCTCTTCTCAAGTAGGAGACCCTATATCATTCCAGATTGATTGTCCAGTCTCTTCTTAAAAGGCTCCAGTAATGGAGCCACCCATAACTTCTGAAGACAAGCTGTTCCTCTGAGTAATTGTTCTAACTGTCAAGAAATTTCTCCTTAGTTCTAGGTTGGTTCTCTTCTTGATTAATTTCCATCCATTGCTTCTTATCTTGCCTTCAAGTGCTTTGGAGAATAGGCTAATCCCCTTGTGGCAGCCCCTTAGATATTGAAACACTGTTCCCATCCCTGTCCTTCTTTTCATTAAACTAGACATACCCAATTCCTGCAACAGTTCTTGATATGTTTTAGTCTCCTAATCATTGTTGCTTTTGTCTGTACTTTTTCGAGGGTTTAAGTAATCTTTTTTTTAATATTGTGATGACCAAAACTGGGTGCAATATTCCAAGTGTGATCTTACCAAGGCATTATAAAATGGTACTAACACTTTGCACAATCATCTAGAAAAGCACATTTGTAGAAAATTTTGTTGTATGAGTTAGCCTTCCCATGATACTTGATATAATCTAATGAATTTTCTCAATTGCTATAAGTAACCATCAGAGCAGGTGTTTATAGTTTTTACAATTTATAAGCTGTATTCTAAACTTCAAACTCCTGAAACTTTTTTTTTATTTTTTTTATTAAAAAATTTTTTTAAATTTTTNGTTTCTCTTTCCTAATAAGGTTGATTCCAGTCAATGGAGCGGGAGGAAATCTGCTTGGAAGTCTCTGATTTCTTCTCCCCACTTTCCTTTAATCTACATGAAACTGCAGGGAGAGGTCACTGACTCAAAGATTAGGTATCTATGTTGTCTAGTTATATACAGATATCATCAAACAGATGCCATAGAAGTGCTGACTCAGTGCTTAGAATTTCTCAACCTAGGAATGGACTCTAACTGAACTCTTCATAGAGGGAACAACTTTAAGTCTGTAGGCCAATGACTTCAGGACATCATCCTTGGCTCTGAAGTAAGGCTATTTGTCCCTGCTCAGAAGTGGGGGGCAAATTGGTAGTCCTGCTGAATCAAAGCTTTTGCTCAAGTAGCTGTTGGCGACTATGAAAAGAAAGGCTATTGCCCAATTAGGGAAAATTAGGAATCTTTGCTCATAGTCACCCATTGTCCCAGTCACCTCTAGTTTGGATTACTGTAGTGCATGCTATATGAGGCTTTGAAAAGCATTCAAAAGCTATTACTGAGGCAAAATGTAGCAACCTATGCAGGTATTTATCATTATACCTCAGTGACCACACTGCTTCAGGGCCTGCATTGGCTGCCAATTAGCTTCTAGTGGGATTCAAAGGGCTGACTGTCACCTTTAAGGTCTTCTACCATTCGGCGTTTTACTCATTGTTCCCACAAATTTAAAATTCCTTGCTCTACACTTTCTTTTCTGGATTTCAGGAAAACCATTAATGGCTTTCCCCACTTAGCCCAGGAGGAAGACCTGCTTTGAATACAGTATAGGAATACATTTGATTTTGTATGTTTTTTCTTATTTCTTGTGGTGTTAAGATTTTTTCTTGTTTTTCTATGAATGTATTATTTTTATTGAGAAGTTCCTTTTATGCTATCCCTGATTGTTAGCTGCTCTGAGCCTTTAGAAATGAAGAGCAAAGAACAGCTAGTCGTCAACTTACAACCATTTGTTTAGCGATTGGCTGAAGTTACAATGGCACTAAAAAGAGTAACTTATTACTCTTTCTCAGTTACAACCATTGCAGTATCTCCATGGTCACGTGGTCAAAATTTGGCCAGTTGGCAACTGGCATATTTATGACGGTTGCAGTATCCTGGTGTTATTGATCACCTTTTGCAACCTTCTGACAAGCAAAGCCAATGGGGAAACCAGATTCATTTAACAACCATGTTACTAATAGCTGCAGTGATTCATTTTACAAGAAAGGTTATAAAATGGGGCAAAACTCACTTAACAACTATCTGTTAGCAATGAAAATTTGGGCTCAATTGTTATAAGTCAAGGATTACCTGTATCAACATGTATTTATTTATTTATCTATTTGTTTGTTTATTTGCCTACTTAAAACATTTAAATAGCTGCCCATCTTACAGCAAACTCTGGATGACTCATAATTATTCTGCATTTCAGATCCAAAGGCTGTATCATTTTATCAGGAGGAGTTGTATTTCACCATGACTTACCTTGCCCAGTCTCTTCTTCATCTATGATCTCATGGACATCTGCCACCCCATCTTCCTCATCTTCGCCATCATCATCCACAATCACAACAAAGTCATCACCATTTTCTGTCTCACTAAACATAAGGGAAGGAGGGAGTGTATCACCATTTATCTATCATCTTCTGCGGACTTCCCAGCTGTATACCACGAAGCCCTGTCTTCATGAAGTCCACTTCTCCTACGTCTCTTTAGTTCTCTCCTCCTACGTCCTGCTGCCACAAACCTAGACAAAAATCTACATCCACACACAATGGCAGGCTTAGATTCTTGCCAAAAATATCACTCATACTATAATCTCCATAACAAGGAACCACGTAACTGCCTAATTCTTACCTGTCTTCTTCACCATTTTCACCACCTTCCCCCATCAGGTAGTACTGAAGTGGATTGGGCCACAAGTCTTCTTTAATGATCTAGAGAAAAAGAAGAGCGTGACAGGTAAAAGGGCATACGGATGCAACAAACCTTTTAGAGGGTGCAGCCCACCAGTGCTGACAATGGTGGATGCTGAGGCTTGAACAACATTTGGGGAGCAAGTTCTCATCAGTGGTATGCAGTATAATCCCACCTCAGCAATGCGATCTCCTGCAGGAAAGCTATGGTCACAGAACCAACTGAAAAAGCTGCGGCTCATTTCAAAGTTCTTCTGGCCATGAGCTAGTGGATCCTGGCCACGCCACCAGCGAATTGGTGTAGAATGAGAAACTAATCTCCCTGAAAAGGATGGGGAAAAACCATACAGCTGTAAAGAAATGCATGTCAAATCTGACCTTTCATCCCTCAAAACTCTGTCCCCTTGTGCATACCAGAGGAACCACACTGGAACTCCTTCACAATGACCTCATTCTGGAAATAGGGATTGCTGCTGAAGTAGAACTTGATCTTGCAGCCTGACTTTGCATGGGTGAAATCCACAACCTACGTATCAAAGAACACCATAACCATAACATTACCAAGGTACTGTCACAGGGTCTGGAAAAATGTTAGGATGCAAATAATTATTACTCTCAGCTTATTATTATTCGCCCTTATTCCTTCCGAGGTGGGTGAAATGAGGACCCAGACTGTGGGGGCGATATGCTGACTCTGTAAACCGCTTAGAGAGGGCTGAAAGCCCTATGAAGCGCTATATAAGTCTAACTGCTATTGCTATTGCTATTTATCTATCTATCTATCTATCTATCTAATCATATCTATCTATCTGTCTATCATCTATCTATCTATCTATCATCATCTATCTAATCATATCTATCTATCTGTCTATCATCTATCTATCTATCTATCTATCTATCTATCTATCTATCTATCTGTCTACCTTCTATCTATCTATCTATCTA